CCAGCAGACAGTCACTGCACAGTTCAACACTCTTAAAGGAGCAGAAGCTTCTTGCCAGGTCTTCTTACAGCTTCTGGATCAGAATAGAAGAAGCTCCGCCGCCTCCATTGCAGATGCCCGCCAGCCCGTACTGACCAGACTTCAGGTTGTGCACCATGTGACCCACAATTCTTGCACCAGACATCCTGACAGAGGAAAGAGAAATAGAGGGCAATAGTTTCTTTTCTACTCTAGGTTTAAAAAGCCATGGCGTACTACAGAAGTGCACAGAAATCAAACATGGGACAGTATTTAAGGTAGGCACACGTAATTAGTGTCAGATGTTGTTTGGTCGGAAAAAGCAAACAGTTTGTGCTATGCTGTTGTGATTTATGATAAATGAGGTTGGATAAAGAGAACTGTTGAACAATAAATACAACTGATGGAATGCAATAAAGATGTAAAACGGACAAGATAAGTACGGCTGGAGTTATCGGACTGTGGCAAATTTCATTCATAACAGTGGCATCACGTCAGCCCCGCCATCGAACACCTCGGCGGCTTCAAGCGTAGGCCGAGTCATTTTGGGAATGATTAATTTGGACTTTTTCCAGAGTGGAATGATTTTTCTGAGATTTTCTTTAATGATTTTTCTTTAATGACTTTCAATAAATTGGGTAAACAGGTTTGAATTTATTTTGGATTTTCTCTCATCTATACATGTTTAATACTATATATACAGGCTCTGAATATTTCAGACAAATGTAAACACATTTACTAGAAAAAAATACTTTTGAGAAGAACCAGATGAGTTCAAGCCAAGTTGTAACATTTTGTTGTGTCACCTACCCAATGGGGTGTCCCAGTGACACAGCTCCCCCGTTAATGTTGACTTTTGCTGGGTCGATGTTCAGCATCTTGATGTTCGCCAGCACAACCACGCTGAAGGCCTCATTGATCTCCCACATGGCAATATCATCCTTCTTCAGCCCCGCTGCATCCAGCACCTGACAGACACACACACACGGGTCCAGTCATACACATATATGGGTCTAAATAATTATTATATTATGCTTTTGTGCATACTTTTAATTTAACCTAAAAATATAAATATGAACAATCTTTCGTAATCACAAAACAAATATAACCCAGGTAAATACGACATGCAGTTTCTAAATGATGATGTCATTGTGTTGTTGTGTCACCCTTTGCAGCAAGAAGCACGATCACGCATTTGTGATAACTGACGATGAGCCTGTCAG